AGGCAATAAACTCTTCTACATATAACAGTCCTCTGTTTCCTTTCGAAGTTGGTAGTCAGTAGTATCTCGATTACAATTTAGTTGTCGGTTAAGCCTACGGTATTATATACACTCCGGAGCATAATAAATTTTCAATAAACTTTCCCTCTTCATATTCTGTTAATTCATTCCATCCATTGTATTCATCAAGGTGTCATTAGTTGAATGGCTAATTATTTATCCAAAACAATGTTAACTGATTCATAGACTAGGATATAGTGTGTATAGGATAAAACAGAAATTAGTAATTAATCCCCCCCCCCAGAAAAAAATCATTTGAAAAAAATTGGGAGGAAATGAAATACCTTTTTGTTTAAAGAAGACTATTGAGAAAATCTCCAGTAATCCGCTTCTCATTAAGAATTCTCTCTTTGAAAACAATTTCATTTGTTACACCCTAGACTAGAATATTTACCAAAATGAATTCCCATTATCCTAATCTTTACCAAGAACAGCTTAGTCATACGACGATTAAGCGATATAATGATTAATTAGTAATTGTAGTCATTTTCACCCATTATGTTTAGAGCTGGATGAAGAATCCAACTGACTGACTAAAACTGTATATCTTATTTGGTTAATTAGAAAAATAGAATATATGAAGAGTATAAATTAGGTAAAATATTCTTTTCATCATGTTTTATCAATCTAGATGATTAACACAGGAGTGCAGGACAGGCGTTTCGTGCTACTTGGGATTGGTCAGATAGATGTACCCGAACTACTAACCTTTCATCATTAAACCCATTTTTCTAACTGCCTCTAGAGGCATTTCGATCAGTAATTATTCGAGTGTAAAGGTTAGTTTATATCAAAACTAACCATTTTTTTCCCACTGTTATCGACTTGTATATCATCTAACTTATGGTTTAAGTTAAGAGTTATTAATAATATTTATTATTTGTCCCTTGGGTTCGTAGGGGAACATACGGCTTCACTAGCACATCTCTATTTCACTCTCTTCTCTGCAATCTTGTCAACCTGGTTCCAAGACAGCCCACAAGCTCTCATTTCTTCCTCACATCATCTCCTCCATGTCACCCTCAGCTAGGACACCCAACTCGTCGTTTCCCCTTCGGGTTCCACTTGAGGGCCTGGCCTGGCTCTTGATGTCCTCGAATGGTCTTCTCAGTGCCATTCGTAAGTATTTCGACAACTCATGAGTTGGAATGTATCTAACATTTAACATCAGCTTAGTAAAATAACCCAGTTTATGAATCTTAATATTATCATATATTCTACCGCGATTATTGGTTTTCGGCATTAAATTAAACCATTTTCACTTACACAAAACGGCTTCATTCAGTGTATTAGATCCATTGTAGATTTATTAACTTTATTCATAATACTATCCACTGTTTTCTTAATTTATTCATATTCTCCTTTTTTCTATATCTTCATTCAGAGGATGAATGTAGTCAGATTTGCTTCCTGATATTTGTAATCACGCGTTATTGTGTACGGGATCGAATTGCTCGACCTCTGTTGGCAATGAAAACTGATATCTGTTGCACAAATGGTGACTGTCATTCCCCCTAATGGTCTAGTGGATAAGGCTTAAGTATTTGAAGCAGTGGGAACAACATCACTCACTACGATGCAGGTAAACTCAGCTGGTGAGTCATAAATAGACGAAACATGCGTTCGGGGTTCCACTACTAGCCACCAAGTAGACTACAGTGTAGTCCAATTTGTTCACTAAGACCGTTGATGGTGATTACTGTATTATTGTCATTTGAAAGTTCTAAAGTGCTTACTTCGTAATTTGGATAAAATAGGCGTCATCTTCTTCAGTCATCTCAGTGTCACAACACATTCTATGCTCGTACATAATCAGGAATTGTCTTATTTATTGAATTCAACGCTATTTCTATTTTGTGAATGATATCTTCTGGTTCCAATTCATTAAGTTCTTTCTTAAACAACTTTAATTAAAAGACTGACAACCTACTTCGACTTATTAATTAGTAATGCTGTGATATTATTCATCTCATTATTGTTAACTGCATACTTTTCTTCCATAAGTTTGTTGAACTTCTTAAGCTGAGTATTTTTAGATTTCTTGAAAGCAGGTAATCATGCTCAATTGTAATTGTCCATCAGACTTTTTCACTAACTGTTTGCATTGACTAGTCTATGAACCTCTTCTTTAAGACAGAGTTTATTGACCCGTTCTATAACTGTTTTAACTTTGTCTGTTGGAATTGGTGCACATAGACGTAGATATATAGGAACGACTTGGTGACATTGAATACGATAATTTATGTATCTGCCTTTTGTCTGTGAATGTTGTATGAGTTTGCTGATAAGTCGTCGAACGGGAAGACAATATGAGAATAAAAATTGGGCATTATGGTAGATTGTTAATACATTTCAGTCGGTTTATTAGAAATATCATACAGTGTAGCGAATAGTTTTGGGTTTGAGCTTAAGTAGGAACAATATCACTCAATGAGGTACAGGTACATTCAGTTGACTAATGATTCCCAAATAGGACGAAGTGTACATTATGGATTCCACTGCAAGTCATTACCCATCAGCAATATCAAGATCACTTTAAGTCTCCAACTAATAATTCACATCATTTTACTGGTTTGAAGGTGTAAGATTAAACATTAACTTAACTAGGCTCCACCTACTATATAGGTGTAAAATTTGGGCACTATGGTCAAATCACATCACTGATATGATTATAAGTAATAATTTATGCTCGAAACATCAAGTATTACTGTATCACTGTGTGTTTTAAATCAAATAAACAAATCTAATATGGAATCCACCTACTATAGTTTCTTTTCAGTAAATAAAAACCTTACAGTCAGAAAATTTCATTTATTTCACCTTTTTATAGATGTAAAAGTGAAAGCGTAATGACACGGCATATTACTCAAATATTTGAGTAGCATATGATGCGCAAAACAATACACTTCGTTTTTGGTATTATCAGTGCCGCTTAGCATTTATTATTATTATCATCATTATTACTGCAACACAAACATGCTAAACCAAGGGGACCAAGAAATGCGCCACACTAAACAGTATAACAACACGAAATAAATCATTTATTACTCTTCAGCAGCAGAAGATAGAAGGAAGCTACAGCAAGACCAACATTAGTTTCCATTCTGAAACGCATCTGATAACGTCTGAAGCCGCTGAGTTGTGTATCTCTCAGTCTCAACGCCCAGGGAGTCACGATGCACCAACAGATGCTAACCCGATACAACTAGCCTTCGTCCCACAGTGCCGAATCATACACTGACAATTCCTCCACTTATTCCATCAAGGCCTAGGGTTAGCAAACAGTTAACAATATGGAAGCCGTTGGGACGACATAGATAACACATATCCCTGCCACCGAAGTTGGTGTTTCAACATAACTTCACTTACTACTGACTGACAACCTATATCATAACCAAACACACGCCGTCATACATCACAATTGCTTACATCGTGTCGCCACCGAATACCAGCTATCCTACGGAGACAATGATGATCGAGCATTCAAAGTCGTCACACATCGTCTGTTCGGAGAAGCCAGGTTTTACAGGTGTAGTGTAGAAATGCTTGAACCGAAGTGTTGTAAACCTGATCTTTTACGGTCAGACTAATGTCGTGACGGCCCAAAAGCGGTGGCTTAGATACTGAAGTATGCCACTCTGGCTTTGGATATGCGGTTGAAAGTTTCACCACTCACACGAACTTGTTAACTACTTCTGAAGGATTATTACCTAAAGTGAGCGCAGGCATGAACTCTAGTGAATCTTGCAAAAGCACTTTGCTACTTAACAAAGTGATGCATTTTAATTTCAAACGAAAACAATCATGTATATTCACAGATGACGCATACAAACATCTGCTTAAACAAAAGAACATTTTTCGCCCATAAATAGGATGGAAAGACAAGGCTGCCTACTATCACCCATAATCTTCCTGATTGTAATCGACTGGACTGGATCATGCAGTAAACCGTGAGGAGATTTGGATTTCGCCACCGATGATCATTTATGTCAAATATCCTGTTGTATAAACTCGAACATCTACAGACAAGAACTAACAAGTTGACAAAACAGGTGAGGCAGTGAAAAACGGACTTCAAGTGAATGTAGAGAAAACAGAGGTGATGAAGATAACAAACCAACAACAGCATCAACAACAAGCACTAATCACCATCAACAGGAAAAACCTAAAGGAAGTAGTCTCTTCCACTTATCTAGACCTAGGCACCATCATTTCAACTACAGGCAACACAGGCACAGACGAGCATGTCAAAATCAGGATCGGAAAAGCAAGATAGACCTTCCCCAATCTGAAATCATTGTGGAGATCTACTCCACTGCACTCAGCAGAATGTGTGAATAACATCTGGATTTTCAACACCAATTCAGTCAAGTCAGTGCTTCTATGTGATGGTTCACAAACTTGGTATGTCACGAAAAGCATTCCCAACAAAGTACTACACACATTCATCAACAGCTGCTGCCTACACCCACTCGATACTGAGGATCAGATGGCTACAGTAATAAGGATAAACAACAAGGAAGTCTGCAAACGAACCAACGAAGCGAGAACCTATCGCCCAACAAATGTGTGGTGGGAGAAAGTGGAGATGGATTGGATTGGTTTGGATTGGGCATACAGTGAGAAGGCCGACTGGGGACATCATGCATCAGACCAGGCCAGGTTGTCGAGTGGAATCCAAATGAGAAACGACGAGTTGGGCATCACAGCTGATGATGACATGGAGGAGATCATGTGAGGAAGAAGTGAAAGGTTGTGGCAGTTGTGAGGCGAGGTTGAAAAGACTGGAGAGAAGAGAGTGGAATGGAGGCGTGCTACTGAAGCTACATGTTTCACTAGGAACCCAAAAAAATAATAACAGTAATATTAAATAGAATAGAATATTGAAATCAAAGTAAATCAAATCAAATGGGTACAATGAAGAGGAGAAATTAACTCACCTTAAGCAATCGAACATCAGCAGCTATCGGTTTATCACTTTCAGCAAGTGAATTTTCTGTATCATCTGTACGTGCTAGTTGATCTCTTAATTCAATATTATCTCGACGTAACTCTCTAACTAAATTATCTAGATGACTTTGTTTAGCTAGAGCAGCTGCAGTTTCAGCCTTTTGACTTGATAAATCTGATTTGACTATATTCAATTGTTCTTTTAATTGTGTTATCAGTTGATGACTATCAGAACTTGCCTAAATAGAAAGATAATTATAAAAGATTAACAAACGAAGAAAATGAATTTAATACATATTCAATATAACACTAAGAAATATCATGAGACTTTGGAACAAACATTAACTAACAGAAGTTGGAAGTATGAACCATTGGATTCTGACCCAGTGGCTCATGGTAACGCGCTGGTCGCGGAACCCGAAGGTGGCGGGTTCGATCCCTGGAGGGTGGAGTCGTGAGAGCGCACTGCTGAAGAGTCCCATACTAGGACGAAACAATTGGCTGTCCAGTGCTCCCAGGTTTCTTTTGTTCCTCCAACTGATGTCAGTCTAAGATGAATAATAACTTGAAACACTAAGTATTCAAAATAATTTTTAACAAAAAGATTTTCAAAGCAAACTGGAGTTTTTCTAGTAATAGACGTTTATTTACTTTAAATTTAGTAAAGAGTTTCAAGATCTCATTTAAAAGTTACGCTCTCTTTTTAGGGTAGTTGATTAACTGAAATTCTAAAGTTGAATAAAAACATTGTCAAAATTCTTCGTTAGCAATACACCACCATCTCACTGTAACAAGTAATGATAAGTTCATTTTTCTGGTTGTATTGTATTCTCTGAGCTGAGTTGTTTAATTGTGGAGATGCTTTCATTGTCTTTCTAGACGACATCATCATCAATTAGCACTAACTTCAATATGAAGTGACCTGTCAATATTTCTCCTTGAATGATGCAGTAGCTTACCTTGACCAAGTGGTTTGTGACTGTTTGTTCCACATGATTGTTGTGTTATGGACTGACTCTATAAACTTTTCTTGTTGGTTGTTTTTCTGTTTGACCTCTCATCTTTCTGTTGTTTATCACTTTTTTCATTAGTTGACAGATTGGGTCTACGTCCATGCAATTCTTGATTGCTGACTGATCTGAAGCCGTTGTCCTAGGGATTCTCTGATATGCTTTGTGTTTCCTCTCTCCATCCAAAATTTTTACATCGTCGAAACTGAATTCATGTCCATAGTTGTTATCCACGTGCATTGAAAGGAGTGATGTTTAATAGCCAATTGGTGTTCATTTAGACGAAGGCGAAGAGGGCGATCACTTTGTTCAATGTCGTGTTGACTACAGTTATTCCAGTTGATTTTATAAATGATATTCGGTTTGTCTTCTTTGGCTATTGGGTCCTTTGGTCTGTACAATAGGGTTTGGAAGGAATGTTTTGGTTTACGAGGCACACCATACAAAGTATTTCAGAGAACTCCTAGAAGTATTCCATTCAGGTCAATCGGTAAACAATAGACGTATAGACATAGACCCAATCTATCAACCAATAAGAAAGATGGTAAACGACAGGAAGGTAAGAGATCAAGCAGAAGAACAGCTAAAAGGAAAGTCGAAGGGAACAAACAATCACAAACCAGTTCATCAGGGCAAGCTACAAAACCACTCACGGAGAGATACTGACAGGTTACTTCATACTGAAGTTAGTGCTGATGATGTTGCTGTCTAGAAAGATGATGAAAGCGCCTCGAAGATTAAACAATCCAGCTCGGAGAACACAATACAACCGACACCATCCATCTGAGCTACAAATATTCTCCACTATTTCAAAGTTTATTTCAAATGTGAAATCTTGAAAGAATTTAATGTTTTAAATAAGGGTTGAATAGTGCTTCTATCAGAACTACTGGTCTACAAGTGTTGATGGTTAAATATGAAGAGAACAATCTGCGTGATGACTATTAACCTCACTGGAATGGTGAATTGTAAGTACTGTGTCTGACACTTCAAGAGGTTATATGAAACACATATTTTCACTGACATTTAATTTTAGCCTATAGATCATTGATTTTCAAATCTTTATAGCATGAAAGTTGTTGTTAGAAGCTGAAAACAGTAGAAAGTGGTATTCTATCAATCTGATGATAGCTGATCTCTTCTAGCCGTTATCATCTTATGAAAACAGAAGAGGCTTTGGTAGTCCAGTTGTACAAGCCTGATCTTTTTATTTGAAAGAGGCGCATTCCAATTTCTAATTTTAACTTGAACATAATATCCCTAAGACAACTTATTCATTTCTTTGTTGATTAACTATAAACCTATAGGCAATTTTAGATAACTTTGAGTTAACCTTCTAATCTAGTGGTTTCAAAAATAGAACAAACCTTTTTTTACCAGACAAGAGGTAATGATTACTCTGATGCTCATCCAAAAAGTCTTTTATTCCAGCCAAAGTAAAGAGTTCATCATCCAAACAGACAAAAATATGTTTTAAAAAGTGTGATACTATCAGCCACTGTAATGCATACATACATCTTTGCTCCTATTTCTATTCCGTAAATACCCAGTTATCTATTCAAAGTCAGACGTTAGAACCGTTTTCTTGTATTTGTAATAGAAGAAACAACATAAAAAGAGCGAAACCCCTCCGCACAAGAAGTGGCTATCATGACTCGATGGCCTAATGGATAACGTTTGAAGCCATCGGTCCGTAGTTCGAGTCCTGCTGGGAACAATATTACTGACCAGGAGGCAGGTATATCCAGCTGATGAGTCCTGAACGGGACAAAACGCAAGTCCTGGATTCCACTGAGAGTTATTATCTATCATTACTATGGTAACTACTTGTTTTAATTTCTCTGATTGACAAAATGCTGGTCACTTTTTATGAAAAACTTTGATATACAACCGTACAGTGTCAACTTTAGTAAATAAATAAAAAGAATCTGAAACATGATTCATGAAGGTAAGATGAAGCACAATGTTAAAAGTTGTGAGTATTCAACTGAATATTTTAATGTGAGTTAAAAACTGTTAGACATGATAAAAACTGGTGGATGAGGAACAGTTATTGACATGAATATGACCAGATTGTAAAAGGCAGAAATGGAGTCCGTTTTCAGTTATACTTTCTAAGCACTTTCATCATTAGTGTTATTGCTTGTATGACACCGTCGTTGATTACATTGAATTGATCAGTCTCTGTTGGTATGTGGGCTTCTGTGCAGATGCTTCGATAATGTCTGTGTTTTAATTATGTATAGTAATGATGGGCAGTGGCTAACAGTGGAATCCAGGATGCGCATTTCCTCCTATTTGGGACTTGTCAGCTGGATGTACCTACCTCCCAGTAAGTGATGTTGTTCATACAAGCAATAGCACTAAAACTATACTCGTCTCACAAGAATCGGCTATTGTGGCTCGGTGGCGTAGTGGATGACGCGATGGAGTTTGAAGCGATCGCTCCCGAGTCCGAGTCCTGGTGGGAACAACATCACTCACTGGGAAGCAGGTACATCCAGCTGACGAGTCCCAAATAAGACTAAATGCGCATCCTGCATTCCACTGCTAGCCACTGCTCACCATCACCGTTCTACGTGCATTTCACTTTCAATTAGTTCACCATATGTTCGAATCCAGCCTCATCTGTGGAGGTTTACGCAGATAGGTAATAATATAACTATTAGCCCTTACACAACTGGTGTGGCCCATGGACTACTATACTAATTTGCACCATAGTTGTTCAGTATACTTCAATTTTAATTCGATTTGCACTTAACTCGTGAATTTTATTTTTTTTATTAGTGCAGTTATTATCTCAATTGGAGAAGTTCAGTGGAATGACTAATCCATTGAGTAGCTGAATAAAGTCCACTTAGCGAATCAGTCAATTTCATACCTATGATCTAAATTCATTGAATCAACAGATATCTAATATTGGATTTGTGGAACTCTGAATTTACAACTTGGCGTAATCCAATTAATCTAACTGAAGTCAATTTCAAGGTTAATGAGGATTTCTTTATTGATTGACATTAGTTGAAGAAACAATGGGAACCTGAGAGTACTGAACAGCTGTTCCGTACTAATAAGGAACTCTTCATGAGTGTACACTCATGATCATGGATCCAAACCAGGAGATTCAGATTCCGCTGCAAGAATGTAACCATTGAACCATTGGGTTAGAATTCAGTAGTTTATATTTCTTACTTCTCATAGTTCAGGATATTGCACGGCTTCCATCCAATGCCATCGTTGAGTAACCGTCTTCAAGTTCGACTTATTTGGTCCCACCGGTTAGTCCATAATTAATACCAAGATGAAATCAATTGATGACTAGCTTGTAGAGGTGATTCGCAAAGTTCCAAACGAAATTCGCGATCCATTGGTTCAATGATAACGTGCTGGCCGCGAAACCTAAAGGTCCTGAGTCGGATCCCTGACGGAGTATGTTGATGAGTACTCACTGCTACTGAGACGAAACATCTGTCTAGTGCTCCCACATTTCCAATGTTTCTCCAACTGATGTCAGTTGAAAACAATTGAAGCCATTTAAATTACAGAGGGCATAAATATAATTTACTGCACCTATCAATTTGATTAGCATGAGAAATTGTTATGCATGTGTGTGTGTTTACTGCATGAGTTGTGTGATATTGACACTATTCTCAGTAAACAGACTCAGAGACAACGGTGGGCATGCTCACACCACTATTGCACAAGGTTTGGAAGAATGGAAGGAAGGAAGGAAAGGTACCTGCCAACTAACTGCAAGAAGGTCTACCTTGTCAAACTCCAAACTCCAAAGAACTGGCATGGGATCATGCTCCTGTCCATCCCAACCAAAATATTTAGCCGCATCATCCTGGAGAGAATAAAAATGCTCTAAATTCAAAATTACAACCAGAACAGGCTGGCCGGCTGCAGGAAAAACAAGTCATGTGCGGGCCAAATTGCAACGCTACGCTACGCATCAACATAGAACACACCATAGAATGATAGTCAAATGCATCTTTATGTCAAATTCATCGACTTCAAAAAGGCCTTCGACAGCGTCAACCGAGAAGTTATTAGGCATGCAGCTACCACTTCAACACTACGATTTTAGTACCACTAAACTTTATCAACCTCATTCAACAGCAGCCATAGGCTATGCTACATGATGCTACATGCCAAGTGATCCACAATGGAAAGCTCAGTGATGCCATGGAAGTGAAGTCAATGGACAGGAGTAAGACAAGGTTGCC